AGCCGGCCAGGTGTCTCCGTTGTTCCAATTCTTCTGAATAAAGTTCTGGCCAAGCCATCCTTTCTCCTCTAATCTTGACCATGTAACAGTGATGCTCAGAAGTTTGCTCTCAGGGAAACCCGAGGGACAGTGAACCAGGGTTGGCCTCACACAGAAGACCGTCAAGGCCCTCAGTAAATGGTGGCCATTGTCATTTCATTACCAGCAAGGTAATACCAGGGCTCTGTTTGCAGATGAGGAGGCCCAGGGAGGCCGTGTGACTTGCCCAAGTCACACAGAGAGAAGTGATAGACGGGGGACTGAGCCCATGCTGCTCTGAACAAACCCTTCAGTAGGTGACTCAGAAAAGCTTGGTTTGGGGGCGTCTAGCTGGCTCAGTCGGAAGAGCATACCACCCTTTTTTTAATATATTGTTTTTGATGTTTATTTTCGTAGGAGAGAGACAGAGCCTGAGTGGGGGAGGGCCAGAGACAGAGATGGAGACACAGAATCCAAAGCAGGCTCCAGGTTCCAAGCTGTCAGCACAGAGACTGACCCGGGGCTCAAACCCACAAACTGCAAGATCGTGACCTAAGCCAAAGTTGAATGCTTAACCAACTGAGCCACCCAGGTGCCCCAAGAGCCTACAACTATTAATCTTGGGGTCATGTGAGCCCCCCAGTGGGCATAGAGATTACTAAAACAATTAACTTAAAAAAAAAAAAAGAGAAAGAAAGAAAAAGAAGCTTGTTTTCTATCAATGCTTACCCTCTTTCCACTCCAATTATACAAAAAGGACCAGGATACTCAAGGCCTCCAATCAAGCAAGATCCAAACAGAAGAGTCTTTCATAAAGAAATGAGACCTTCAGAACATTTTTGTTAGGACCAGATTAAAGCCCCAAAGCCCACACAGAACCGACAAGGTCCTGGGGCCTGGCCTCGCTGGCCTCACCAGGTACCTCTAACTCCACCACCCTCGGTCTGGGGGCTCCAGCCACCCTGGCCGTCTCTCAGCTCCTGCAACGCTCCTTCCTGCCACGGGATCCTGGCACAGGCTGTACCCTCTGCTAGAACGTTCCCTCCCCACCTCCACCCGGGTAACCCCTGCTTATACTTCAGGTCTCTGCTTGAGCATTTCTGCACACGGAAGCCTTCTCCGGCCACCTGGACCAGGGACTTCATTCCATGCTCTTCCGGATCTGCGTCCCCTAGCTTGAGAGCATGCGGCTCAGTTTGTGATGACACATTGACTAGTGTGATTACTTGACGGCCGTCTTCCCCTACGGGCCAGGCTCCGTGAGTGGGGACCATCAACGTAGCCCTGGCACTCAGCACGAGACCAACCCAGACAGGTGCTCAGGGAGACTTTGCTGAACGAATGGCCACGCAGGAGCCCTCTCGTGAATCCTACCCCCATGAGGGGGTAACAGGATCTCCTTTCACAAATGGAGAAACCGAGGCTCCGAGAGTTCCAACGGACGTGCCCACGGCCACGGAACCAGAAGGGCTGATGTGCCAGATCCTTAAAGCTCCCACTCCTCACGAGTGCAAGGGCATCTGGAATCCGGCTCCCGGACCCGCTTCGCCCGCGCACGCGAAAAGAAGGAGAGAGAAACCGACAAAAGCAGCCCATTTCCGTAAGCTCCAGGGAAGGGACGCACTCACCCCGTGCTTCTGGATGGCGACGTTGGTGAGATGAACAAACATGTTGTCCAGCTCGCTGGTGCTTGGGGTGTACTTCACCGTGCAGAAGCGGCAGAATCCAAGTTTATACCTGAGTGGGAATTCAGACCACTTCAGCACGCTGAGGAGAAGCACAGATAAGACCGAACACTTTGTTCTCTTACAAAAGCCACTTTTTGGAGCATCTGGGGGACTCAGCTGGTCAGGCGTCTGACCTCAGCTCAGGTCAAGATCTCACGGTTCGCAGCTTCGAGCCCCACGTCGGGCTCTGTGCTGACTGCTCAGAGTCTGGAGCCTGCTTCGGGTCCTGTGTCTCCCTGCTCTCTCTGTCCCTCCCCTGCTCACGCTCTCTCTCTCTTTCTCTCATAAATAAACATTAAAAAAAATAATAATAGGAAGACCTGCTTTTTGATTCAGGCCGTTAAAAGAGCTGCTTTTTCATTTTTTACGGTTCTTTTCTTCGAACGGTCACGCTAAGGTACAATTCCTAGGCCACAGGACTCCCCCACCTAAAGCGTATGACGCAGTGGTTCTCGGTATACTGAGACTTGTGGGGCCACTACCACGATCGAGAAACCCTGTGACCGCCAGCAGTCACCCCCCCGCGCCGCTAATCTACTTTGTCTCTGAAGGGCTGCGTCTCGTGAGCTGCCGACCAACAAGACAAAACCCCAGCGACTCTCACATGTAACAGCGCAGTGGGCGGTACGTAGACACCAGCACGTACAAGCGCAGGTCAAACTTCCTCCCGCCGATCAGCAGCGGGTTGTTAATGTACAGGGAGATCACGTAGGCCTCCTTGGTGGACTGGGTCACAAACCTAAGGGCGGCGGAGACGGTCAATATTAGATGGCAGAGTTCAAAGGCCCCCGTCGCGTCGGGGGAGAAGACGGCGGTGAGCTGGTGTCCACGCGGGAGCCCCCAAGCCTGAGACCCCGGCCCCAGAGGACAGTGCCAGCAGCCCCCCCTCCCCCCGGGAACCCACCAGGGAAGTGCTCCCTGCGCCTGACCCACCTGGGGGCCGGCAACGTGCACTCAAACTTCAATGCTCCGCACAGGGAGGTGACCCTGCTACGCCCGGGAACGGTGAGCCACCAGCCCTCCGGGAGAGAACCACCTCCAGCATCTCTGTACAGTTCAGGACCCGCAGAGGCAGGGTGGGCCCCAGACAAAACCGCCTGGCCTGGTATCTCAGTTCTGGGGAGCCCTCGAACGCTGGGCAGAGACCTGACCTGACGCGGCCTCGCGCTACCCCTGCTACTGATCACAGACACTCCCGTGTTCGCCTGTCCCATCCCCGTCTTGCCCCCGTGAGGGTGCTGCTACTGTCCCCAGTTTACCCAGGTGAAGCATGTAAGCGTCCACAAAACAAAAGGTACTCAGACGGTAAGTGTAGACAGGGATTCAGACCCACACACCCTGGGCCCTGATCTTAAGCAGGTGCACTCACGAAGATGTTTTGCTGTCCCGGGACCACTTTTTGATCTGCGAGAGCTTGTTGATCAAAAAGATGCCCTTTCCCTGGGCTTTGCCACAAGGTTTCATGATCCAGGTGCTGGAGGGGCTTTTCCTGAACTCCTCCACGAACAGGTTGTAGTCCGCGGGCAGCATGTAGGTGACTGGAACAAAGTCTGCAAGGTGAAAAAGAGGACGACGGCGGGTGAGCTAGCCCAACAGCGGCCACGGACGGAAACACACTGCCACGGCCTTTCCGGAGGCTGCTTCATGCCCTCTGCCCCAAGCCAGCGTCTGAAGATCAAGGCCCTGTGCCGTTCAGTTCCCGTACAATAACCTCATCGCCCGTGTGCTAAGCGCTTTACAAACCTGTAATGCCCACAGCAACCTGTTGTCATTCCCATTTATCAGATGAGGAAACGCAGGCCCAGAGAGATTGGTTATATAATTTTTCCCAGGTAGGTAAAAGGATTCTGGAACTATCCGGCAGGCCAGCCCACCAGATGGAACAGGGACACGCCGTTCCGCCTGGGAACCGCCAGATGCGGTAGTGACCGTGAATTCCAAAATGCAGCTTGCAGCTCACGCCGTTTCCCTCCATCCACACACCGGGGACACTCTCTCCCTCGCATGCACCACATTCCCTGGGCACCCATGGAAACTCAGATCCCAACGTGAGCGCCAGCCTGCCCATTCCAGACACACGTGGAATGAGAGAGGCGCCTGTCACAGCTGGCACGAACGTGTTCACCCACCAAAGCCAGCAGTCGCCATCCCGGTAGCTCGTGTGACTAAGGAACTTCCAGGATTCATTTAACGCACGAGCCCAGTGAAAAAGGCACAAACCCAGGTAGAGGTATTTCCCGTTTTCATCTTTTTCTGCCAGAGGACTCCCTTCTTTCTCCAGCTCCTTCCTGTATCTTTTAATATTCTTCACCATCAGATCCTTCCGGGTCAGTTCATAGTGGTTCGGAAAATGGTTGACTATTTGATCGTCTGAGAGCCGATAGCCAGCTTCGACACTAAAAACGTTTCGGATGGTTTGCACACTCATCCTAAAAGAGAAGCACAGAAGGGACGTGCAGGGCGAAAGCTCAGAGGAGGTCCCCGTGGTGGCAGTTCTCATTAAAGCTCGCGACCAGAAGGGCTGGCCTGTTCCCTGAGTCCCAGCACCCAGACCCGGAGATGCCCGGGCCACAGCGGCACAGCGTTGGGTCTGGTGACCGGCTGTGACCTGAACCTGAACTGAGGCAGGAGCAATTCTGAGTCCGTCTTACACTGGACGGTGTCATTGCCCAGCACAGAAGAGATACTCGATAAATGCTTACTGATGAATCAATGATACCATTGACTGCTGATTACAAACTAATGAAAAATGGCCTCCTTCAGACTCTGAAATCAGGAAAATCATTTACACAGTATTTGCACCCAAAGTCAAGAAGCACCCGGACCACAGGGCAGGGGCGCCTGGGTGGTGGCTCAGTCGGTTAAGCGTCAGACTCCTGGTTTTGGCTCAGGTCATGATCTCACAGTTCGTGGGTTTGAGCCCTGCTCTGGGCTGACAGTGCAGAGTCAGCTTGGGATTCTCTGTCCCTCTCTCTCTGCCCTTATCCCGGTTGCGTTGTCTCATCTCAAAACAAATAAATAAACTTAAAAAAAAAAAAATCACAGGGTGATTTAAGGGCTCTGGGTCATATTCTTGTAGAAACCGATGACAGGCCAGCACCCGAGTAAATGAGGACGGTTGAAAAAGAAACTGATTCCCTCTAATCCTCTAAGAAACCCAGCCTCCCGGACACACCCCTCCACCCTACCAGCCCCTCAGAGAGGCAGGGAGGGAGGGAGGGAGGGAGCAGGAAGGACTGGACTGGCACTCACAAGGGAGCCACAGGCAAGGCAGGCTGGCATGGCTTCTTGCTCTAGGCCCCCACCCCACCCCACCCCGGGCACCAACCTACAGAGGGCCCCAAGCACCCAAAGGGTCTCTTCCAAGTCTATGATCATTAGAATGATGGGGGAGTTTTCAAACTTTTAATTACGAAAGAGCTCAACCACAAGCAAAAGCAGAGAGGAAAGTGTAAGAAGATCCATTGCTCGCTTTAGGGGCTGCAACCAGGCACCCGGTCTTGTCTTGATTGTACCCCACCTGTGCCCCACGGCACTGGCTTATTTGGAAGCAATTCCCAGACACGAGATTCCAACCAAAATGCTCCTGTAAGAATGTCTAACAGTTACGGACTTCTTAATATATGATGTCCTACTGGGGCGCCTGGGTGGCTCAGTCGGTTGAGCATCCGACTTCAGCTCAGGTCATGACCTCGTGGTTCATGAGTTCGAGCCCCACGTCGGGCTCTGTGCTGATGGCTCAGAGCTTGGAACCTGCTTCGGATTCTGTGTCTCTTTCTCTCTGCTCCTCCCCCACCTGTGCTCTGTCTCTCAAAAATAAATAAATGTTAAAAAAAAATTTTAAAGAGAGATACGATATCCTACTTCATACTGCTGTCACAACTAAAAACAAGCAGCAGTGATTTCTGGATATCATCAAATATTAATCAGTGTTCATGTTTCCCAAGTCATCTGATAAGTATTTTTAGAGCTTGTACAGATAAGGGTCAGGCCTTCTGATGAGTTGTTCTCTCTCTCCCGACTCGTTTAACCTACAGTCTCCCTAGGCCATCTGTTTCTGGAGGACCCTGGGCCACTTGCCTTCTAGGTCCTCACACGCTTCTTCCTCAGCCCAGTGCCCCGGCTCCCGTGCCACCTGTCAATCAGGAGTCAGACCGCAAGGCCTGGGGAGCTGCAGGTCCATTTGGGGCACACCTACAACTGGGCCCGCCACGCCGAAGTGCTCGTCAGCCCTGAGCTCAGCGGCTCCCATACTGGGCGGGCCTAGACCCTTAGGTCGTTAGGGGAGACGAGATGGTGGATCCTCTGCTTTCATTTCTTCTTCATGTGTTAGCAGGAATATTTCTACAAGGAGAAATGTCCCTTCATCAACAATCTGGATACCCCAAAACATAGCTCACAGAGGAAAGACTAACTAAATGCTTGATTCTTGCCCTTTATGTATCGGTTTTCAAGATAATGAGCTGCTTCCCTACCACTCTCGGGTATGTGATGATAGATTCTGGGTACCTCTTACTGCAAAGCAAGGTGCCTGGTGTTAGCAACTTAAGACAACAACCATTGGATCAGATCTTGTGGTTTTGTGGACCAAAACATTTTTTTAAATTTTTTAATCTATTTATTGAAAGACAAGAGAGAGAGAAAATGCGTAAGCGGGGAAAAGACAAAGAGAAAGGAACGAGAGAGAGAATCCCAAGCAGGCTCTGAGCTGTCAGCGCAGAGCTTGACATGGGCCTCGAGCCCACAAACCGCGAGATCATGACATGAGCCGAAGTTGGATGCTCAACCCACTGAACCACCCAGGTGTCCCTGTGGACCAAAATTTTGGGTAGGGCTCAGGCGAGCCTGCCTCTGCTCCATGTGGCACGGACCGAGGCCACTCGGTGGTATTCGGCCAGCGGATGACCCCATTTGGAGGGTCCAAGAAGGCGTCGTTCGTATGTTTGGCACCTTGGTGGGCACGGCTGTAAGGCCGGGAGTGGCTGTAACTATCACACACAACACAGCTCCTCCAGCCAGAGAGGCCCCACCTGGCAGCTTGGGGCTCCCGCAGACAGTTCCCATAAAGGAAGGGGAAGCTGCTAGTTTCTTAAGGCCTGGGCCCAGACCCGTCTCACCTCGGCTCTGCTTTGGCCAAAAAAGAGGCAGAAGCGATGGCGTGTCGCTTCTGAGACTAGCGCCAAGAGGCCTTGAGAGCTTCCTCCCTCCCTCCTGGACCCCAGCCGCCCCAGGAGGGCAAGCCCAAGCCAGCTGGCTGGAGGGCCACGAGATATCTGTGGTGAGAAGCCACTGTGGTCCTGGCCAACGGCATCCAAGACCAGACAAGCCCCGGCTGGACCCCCCAGGTGACAGCAGGGGAAGCCCAGGCAGGATCAGCTAAGTCCTGCTGGACCAAAGGAACCGACCGGCCAAACCGATAAATGCGCGTGCTGTGCAAATGGTTGTTCCAAGCCTTAAGTTCTGTGGCGTTTGTCACACGCCATCAATCTGGCAATCGGTGATTAATGCATCTCCCTAGCGCAGCCCTGACTCCCATGTTTCACGTGCTCCTACCTCCTACCCTATACTCAAGCTGTGATCAGAACACAGATACAGTTTCATAATATGTTTGTCTTCAGATTTTTTTGTTATACGATTTTCCAAATTGCTTTATAATTGTCCTAATTATTTTCATGGCTGCACCGTAATCCACTCGGTTAACTTGGTTACCTTTTCCTAACCACTTGACATTTAGTTGTTTCCGGTATTTTACCCTAACCAATTTTTAAGACTCGATGGTACACAGAGTGCTTAGGACAGGAGCTCTTAAGGCACCAAAGAGCCAAAGTTACACAGTTCCGCTCTTTTCTCTCCCCGTCTTGTGAAGACTGGCTCCAAGATGCTTCTTCCGTGGTAGGAAGCAGGGAGTCGCTCGACGCCCTCCCCAGCGCCGATTAATTACCCAGAGAAGCCAAAAGGGCTCGCTGAGAACTGGCTAAGCCCATGGCACAGAGCCGTGGGACGCAGAGCGTTAAGTACCGAACTCTCTTCTTTCAGAGCTCCCATGAAGCAGGGCTCAGGCTACATTTTTTCGCTCTACCTTCGAGGACGTGAACCCGATGCCAAAGCCCACACAGGGGCTGCACTTCTCTACCAGCCTCTCCCCGTCTGCATTCCATGCTCCCCCCGGGGAAACTGGATCGTGGTTTAAAGCACAGGTATCCTCAGCTGCCAGGGGAGCAGAGAAAGGGTCATCCCTGCAGTGGCTGCTGGAGATGGAAGCGGGCCGCCAGTCTACACCGCACCTGGGCCAGGGCCGGGCTCTGGGAGGCTGGGACCAGCCAGACAAGGTCCTCACTGTCATCGGGTTCACAGCAGCGCAGAAAGACGGGGCAGGCGGGGAAATCCCAAATCCTGGCACGCGGCACTTGCTGCACAGCACTGAGGGGAGCCGTCTGGGAGGCTGGAGGGGCACAGGTGGCTTCTAGGGCAGGAGGCTCGAGGAGTGGTGTGCGAAGGCCAGCAACCGCTGGCCGCTGTCACATGCCACACGCTCTGTGCTTTACTGACTCATTCAGGCTTCCGACAGCTGTGTTTGAAGGGAAAGGTCAAGTCCCCTGCTAAGGGCCACACAGGCAGCAGCGGGGGAGCCAGGGTGTAAAGCCAGGCACGACTTGGCTCCAGCGTCTGGACGTCTAACCGCCGGATGCGTGGCGTCCCCGAAGGATGGGCTGAGGAGGCAGAGAGCACCGCCCGTCTTAGCGGGTCGGCAGGGGAAAGCGTGCCGGCGGCTGCACTGGGGCGTGGGGGGGGGAAGGAAGTGGCTGGAACAGCAGGGAGTGGGTCTCAGGGAGTGGGGGACGCATAGGGTAAAAAGGCCTCCGGAGACCCACCAGCTCCCCTCCCTCAAAGGTTCGCTCAGGGCTCCGGGCCCGGGAGCTGCGGAGGATGGCGCCCAGCAGAGATGACCACGGATCTGTGTTCGGGTGCACGACCCTGCCAGAGGGTGGAGGCAGGCCTGCGGTGGGGAGCACACCAGGCCCGGACAAGGGAGGACATGGGACCTCAGCCCACGAGGAGGGGGAGGCGGGGCGGGGGCAGGAGGCGAGGACAGCGGCGTCAACACCAAACACACTGCTCTCCCGTTCGTGCGTCTCCCTCGCTTTTCGGTTGTCGTTACCCAGTCCAGCCAGCGCCCTCTGCCCTGCGAGAGGAAGCAAGGGAGGCACAGGCCCCTCCCCCGCGGTCCCCTTCCCCAGCGCCGGGCACTAAGGCACTGACTGGCACTGCCGGGAGGGGCCTCTGGCTTCTCACCTGGCCCCCCACGGGACTCGCCAGGCCAGGTTGTGCAGAACCGTCCTGGGACTTCGGACGTCAGGCTGGTAAACGGGAGCGTGAGGGCACCCCGCAA